GTTTATTAAGTGTGAGGGAGAATAGTAGTGTGCTTTACAGGCTCACTAACTAGTCTTTGTGATAGCCAGAGATGGTCTTTTTCAAGGACAGCTGCATAGAGTTCCGATTTACATGATCTCAGAGGGATTATGGTTGCCATGGTAACAAATTACAATCACTATGGCTCATTTGTTCCCCATTAGCAGGAAATACTCACCAGCTAGCCTCAGTACCTACTGTACATGATATGTCTGCCTATGTAGTTGTCCAAGGGTATCCACAGGTCCATAATGATATGACCCCTGCTGAGACATTTTATTTGTCAGTGTTGGTTATGTATATATATATATATATATATATATATGTGTGTGTGTGTGTGTGTGTGTGTGTATATATATACACATAAATAGAATAAATTAATGAAATTATCAGGTATTATATCAATTCAATTGTTATTAGCTGCCAGCGTCTTACGGCCATAAGGCCGTTCAGCATTGACTTCACATTTGTTGGTTGTGGTTGCTGCTCAGTAAACTGCTAGCTCTACTGTGACCTGTGACTGCTGCCCCTCTTTTATAAAATAAGTTCTATTCTGACCTAATGCTCTCAGAAGTGGCTGCATAATACCAGGCCGAGCAGCGTTAGGCAACAGGGCATGTATTTTGTTCATGTTTAGCTCTTCACATGTAAAGCTCATGTCCTTTCATGAATGTATCCACCTTCTCTGCACTGAGGTTTCATGTTGTGCTGCAGGCTATATGTCTAGCTAATGAGCCCTTGACACAGCGTCTTTGAAAGAAGCTGACCCATGAAGAAATCCGTTTAAAAGCATTCATCTCACTGTAAAGGCCTACATTCAAATGAGAAATGAGTGTTACTGTGTCCACTACACACCAAGGCACTCAATACATAATAAATGGTATATGATTGGTATATATAGCATATATTTCAGACGCAAATATCAGCAAAGAATATGAAGCATAAAGTGCATATCAGCTTTCACTTGAAGTGGAAAGTAGAGTAACCGTCACAGAGTCAAGAGTTGATGAGGATAGCAGTGATTAGATCATAGCTATGGATAGCCATCCTTAGGTGAACACTGAGCTGAAGGAGGACTAACCATAGAGTGGTCAGGGAGATCATTACTGAGCAATCGTACGGGATCATTGCATTTCCAGCGGACGCTTTCCGCTGTCTCACATCCTGCCTGCTCTACACGTGTGCTGAATTAATAATCACGTCGTCTTGAACACAATTATAGTGGTTAATTATGCGAGTGTCAGAACAAGTAGGGAGGACAACTCGGGATATTTCCCTGGAGATTACTGTGCATGTCTGTTAACGCAGCTAGCTAGGGCACCATGCTAATATGGTACTATGTGACTAATGAGGACTTTAGGGATTGAAACATGAAACAGGAACCACCAGTTTGTAGAGTTGTTTGCGCCTGCCTGTGCCCTTAAATATCTGCATGTATGTGTCCCATGGTGCACACTGTTGTGTCTATACATTCAAATTCCCACCTCTTTTGTTAGTTATACAAGAGCACTCCTGGAGCCACAACGTAGCTGAAGAGATGTGTTCATAATAAAAACAACTGTTGGTCACTGTTACAGTAATACAGAAGGGACAGTAAGAAAGTATGGACATCAGGGAAAGCATTATGTGAATCTGATGTTTCTTCAGGGAGGAATAAAACGGGTGTTAAAGTCAACACTAAGCATACTGGTAAATGATATGACTGTGGGTCAAAGCAAGAGTGGGAACCCTGTTTGTTGGATTGAAACCATTGCTGTTCAGTAGCTGTCTTTCAAACCTTAGATGTCAGACTGTCCTTGAATACACCAACAACAAAAGACTTCAGAACAAGGTCCAAAACAATCAGACATTTGAGCTGTGGTGTTTAATGAGATTTGAGGGTGTTTTCCAGTGTTAACCTGATCAGTTCTCAGGAATAAAGCAGGAGAAAGAAAAAAGTGAAACTCATAATGTAGATTTAGTCCACCTTCTATCCTCGTCACTTGCCTTCAGAAATAACTGTTGTGCATTGTAGGAAGAGAAAGGGAAGCAGTGCTTCCTTTTCTGTTTCAGGAAAACAGCTACTATATGCAGAATGTGATGAACAAAGTGGTAGAATAAACAGCATTATGGACTACATTCCTAAAAGGCTGTAATCCTATAGTTGGATATTTTATTACAATAAGTTCAGAACACTGCTGTTTGGTATTCATCTGCATAATTCTTTCAAATTCATTTTAAATTCCCGTTTCTGCACTTTATTGTATCCCCCACACAGCAGAAACCACACAGAATGAGGCACAGCACACCATAATGACATATTTGACGCACTGCTTCCTTTCCCATTAACCCCAGCAATATTAAAAACAGCACTGAAAACTTCTCCACATCTTGATACAGACTATTTTTACGGAGCAAAGACTTAGACTGCACTTCCTGTCGGTGCCTCAGTGAAATCCTTCATTAGCTTGGCGTACAGCTTTAGATGAGTTGTTTGTGGCCAAACGACATCAACTTTTTGTGGATAGAATTGTATAGTTTGAGTGTGTATTAAGAGGTAGTTTAAATTGATATGTTTAAAAAATACATAATAATCAATAGCCAGTTTCTTTAATAAGGGATTCTTACCAAAAAAGATCCTCTGACAACCTATTGATGAATACTACAGTTAGGCATAGGATGATGGGAATATTTCATGTCACCATTATCCTGCCCAAAACACGATTCTTTTTGGTGAGGGATACAATGGGCAAGCCAAACTTTGAGCCATGGTGGTTTAGGATTTTCTTAGGACTGTACGAGCGAGACAGCTTTTTCAAGTTAGGAGATTCACATTCCCGATAATAAAAATTCACCACCATAAACATAGTTTTTGTTGTAATATGCAATAATATCATCCCATCCCTAATTAGACTTAGAATACAGCCCACAAACAGTCACATGGCACTGTATCCTTCCTACCAGCAGTGACACATTCACTGAACCAGATCACATTTTAAAGAAAAGCACATTACACCATATTCCTGCTAATGTTTTCTTCCTTCGCAGGCTTGCCTCTCTACTGCAGCAGTGAAAAACATGTGACCATCCATGGATGCACATGAAAACGGAGGCTGTTTTTGTTGCTGTGCTGAACATGTTTTCAGTTAGACGCTCTGATGTTGTGTCTGTCCATGCTGTGTGTCTCTGTTCTCCATGTTTCTGTGTGGAGGTCACACTGTCTTTGTCTCTCTGGTTCTTCTCATTTGTCTATCTGTGCTTCTTCTCCTTCTCAATTATTCATATTTTTATCTGACAAAGATGTGAAGAATGAGAAGTAAGATGATGCTGTTTTTTTTATTCCTTCTAGCACACAAATGCCATACTTGACTTTCACCTGCTGCATTCACTGCCTCTGCTTTTTGTTCCTATGTTTTGTAACACACCGCCCTTCTCCTCCCACTTCCCCCAGGTTTTGGTCTGCTTTGGGTTGAACGGTCATTATGCTGATGCAGCTCTGTAGTATCAAGGTCAGTGCCCCCCCC